ACTTCTACTGTGACTTAGCTCCAGAAAAAAACAATTTTCTTTTCTTTCATAGGTTCTGTTAAAGATGACCAAATATGGCGGGTTTTAATACATCCGGAGAAAAGTATTTTAAATACACAAATACTATTACATCTGTCGGGCTCAGCGGTGGCAGCATCATGCTGAGAGTCGGCTTTCCTGCCGGTGGTGCTACTAGGTGGAAGAAATTTATGAAAAACTAGACAGGAGAACAGTCATAACAAACATTAGATACAGTTTTGAACTCATGAACTGAACCTGAATAAACTTTAAAATCTGTGAACTGTGCTTTAAAAAAACCTCCCTGTCATAAGAAACAAGCAGTTATGCAACAAATGGATGAATGACTACAAAAACATGCTGCTTCTAAGCAACTTTCTAAATGCTGTTCAATATTTTTGAGCCTTTATAGATTAAGTAAAAAACCAGAGAGGAAAAAGATCAATAGATGGAAACATGTGATTCATTTTTTTCAAAAATGGTTGAAGGTGTATGTTGTTTAATCCTTCTTGTTCAAACCAACAACTAAAGCACAACACTAATATGACATTTTAAAGCAATCTGATGACCAAACCTTTGCGAGCTGAGGCACAGTGACGGGCGTCTTGACGTGACCAAGCTGTCCACACATGTTACTTCCCCAAGAATAGACCTAAAACACACAAGATTGATTATCCGTTTCTGTTTAAAGCTATTTTTCCAGACGTTAAAATCTGTCGGCTCAGATTTAGTCAAAGGAACCAACAAAGAAATGGATTGATCTTTTTACTGAGTGTTTAGCTCTGCTGTCCGTGCGTATGAGCTGCTGGCTTTGTTACCTGACACTGTGCTGTCAGAGCCAGCGAATGGTGGGACCCTGCAGCCACTTTGATCACTTCCTGACCCGTCAAAGATTTGATACACAAAGGCTGCAGCCTGGACGCAGAGAACAGACAGATACATTAAGAGATGACTGCTTCTGACGCAGACATGAAAGCTCCCTGAAAATGACTGGCTACAGGTAGGATTGAAGAGCAAAACACAAACCTGGCGAGCTGGTCTCCGTGTCCCAGCTGGCCCTCAGATCCACGGCCCCAGCTCCACACCTCTGTCTCCAGAGACGGCAGTCCGTCTCGTGCGTCGTCTGGTCCTGCAGACGGAGCCTGAGCGGCAGGGGTGGGCCCGCAGGCACAATGATGGCGTCTCCGGGGAGACCCTGCATGAAAACAAACACATGACTTCATTAACTGTTAAAAAGCCAAAATAAAGCAGCACTCCATCATGTTAAGTTTATTTTTTCTACATATGTGAAGCACAGTGGAGGATCTTAAACCATCTACAAAGATTTGTCTTCCAAAGAAGCTTGAAAACTAAATATGATGATGTGGAAAAGCTCAAGTTTGTTCCAGAAAACCTGGAAATTACAGTTTCTACATCCCATAGAACAACCGTGCAATGAGGGGAAGAGAATATATTATTATCTTGTCATATTTGTTAATACATTCTTCTCTTTCTGTTTAAATTAAGACTTGTGTCAAAATCAATCATCAGCAGACATCTAGCGTTGGTTGGACGAGGGCTCGGAAACTTTTAAAATCCACAAGGTCAATTTCAAAACTAGTCCCTTAAAACTACAACTTTTTAAATCATGGTTTGATTGTACAACATATTATATTTGTTATTAATTTGCAATAGAAAGTCTGTTATTTATTAGTATTTTTAGGTTTTGAAACGGTTTACAAACATAACATGCATGGGTTTTTATTGTATAAGTTGTGGATTTTTTGAAAATTACGTTAAAAAAAAATTTGCTTCCAAGGTAATAACATAAAAACTTGATCTAAAAATATTTTACTTATATTATTCAGTTGGAAAAAGTTAATATTTTTTTAAAAACCCACTAAAAACATGCAAATGTTATAATTATATAATATTTCAAAACATTTGTTTGTTCTTTATCAGTTTTAGCCTCTATTAGAAGTCATTTCAGAGGGTCCAGAGCTGCAGGTTGCAGGCATCTCGGTTAGACTTATGTCAAAATAATCGGTATCAGCCTGAAAAGAACAAAATCCTCCCTGAAAGCAGCACCTTTAATGTCAAATTTAAAGTTAGGTTTGAAATCTGACCTGATCTCATCCTTTTAAAGGAATTAAGCATAAAAAAAACCAAAACCAAGAAGTTGATTCAATATAAATACACCCTGATGAATCAGTAAGAAGATAAAAAAACTCCAGAGGAGCCAGAAGTTGAGCTGAGAAGTGAAGATAATCTGCTGGCAGACTTTCATTATTACGATCCTGGAACTGAAAACCAGAAAAAGGGAAGTGATTGAGCTGCATCTGCCAATCCTGGTTACTTTTTTGTTATGAAATGATCTTTGCACTGATCAGAGGCCTGAACCATGAAGCAGTATTGCTGGGTTAGCGAGACAACATCAGGTTTGACCCTGACCTTCCAGTAACACAAGCTGGTTTCATTCTTTAGCGAGGTTAGTCACCATGGTGACGTACTGAAAACATCAAACGTGCTCCGGGGCAGGCTAGCTTTCACGATGGATGTTAATCCTAGAAAACGCTCCAGCCAGCAGCCAATCAGATCTTCCTGCAATCATGACCTCAGCTTTGATTGAACACCAGAACTAAAACATCACAATAATGGAATTAAAAAGCAGTTAAAAATACATTTTCTTGACAAATCCTCCTTTTTGACAAACCATCCTTTGGCTATTCTGTATTGGTTTCCCCCTTTATAATGTCCTTATACTCCTCTGGCATTCACTCGATTCATGTGAAATTGACACATGAAGCAAATTTAAAAAGTGTAAATAAATTATCCATATGAGGAAAACAGGTTTTCTCGGGCCTAACTAACAAAAAGATGCCAGATCCTGGAACTGTTTGTCGACACTGCGACCCGCAGGAGTCCAGCCCTCATGCAATATAATGCAACCAGCAGCCTTATGTCCATCATCGGCGATGCTGAGCAGCTCAGGAAAAATACAGTCTGCCTACCTGTCAGTCAAGTGTCCAGCGCCCTGATGGAGTTAATGAATTCTGTTTCCTGAAGCTGCACCAATAGGAAGATCAATGTTCTGACGCAGCTTAGAAATTAGGATGATTTCACTCAGACTGATCACTGCTTGACTTTACATGATGCAATCATAGCATCGGCCTCCATCTTTATTTTAGCCCATACATCATTAAATTAAGAATTCCAACTAAAGCCCCTCTCACACCTTGATGATTTAGACCAGCATATGCCTGATGTAAGAAAAATCTGGCAAAAACGCTGGCACACGTTGGATAAGCTATGGGTATGTTTTGTATAAGTTATGAGCATGGTGAAGCACGGCAAGTTAGCATGCCAGCATATGCCATACGCTCCAAGTTAAAGGTAAGTGATCTGATCGTTGACATACGTGATGATGACGTCATACACGCACCACTTTGTTTTTAAAAGATAAAAATGTAAAAAATATAACCGTGGATTTCTTTGGGACAGGGATTTGCCTAGATGTTATGAATGCTGGCGTACCATAAATGATCAATTATGAACAGTTTAGTTTGTGCTTTCAAGTCGCTCGCCCATATGAAGACGTTACTTGGATATAACCCAACAGAATATCTTCAGAACGGCTCCAACTGACACAAAACTTATATGGTTGAGTAGAACATGATGTAATAACGTAAAATCAAGGGCCAAATGTAAAAAAAACGGTGTTCCCATTTAAGTGTGTTACTCATAAGTCATGGCGTCCAGCTTATCCAAAAGCTATGAGTAACTTCTCCTCCAGACTTCATTCCCATCATATTGTGAGTGTGAAGCTGAGTGTGATGGACCCTCCCTACGTTCACGCCCACGGCCGACAAAATTCCTTGCAGACATGATGCTGAATGCTGCGACTGCAAACATTCTTTTTTCTTTTTATTTCTTCTTCTTTTTTTTTGGGTGGGTGGCATCATCGCCTGAGGCTGAGCAGCTTTAACTGATGCTGCGTAATACCCATGAAATGATGCTGTTCATTTCATGGGCATTACGCTGCCGTGCATTATGCATAAGTTAGGCTGTCGTTCCACATAATTTCTCGAATCGTTGTGAATACGCCCAACATTGAAAGTAAACAGAGAAATTTCAGCACATGCCATCGTTTTATGAGATTGAGATGGCAGGCATATGCTGGCTAAATCATTAAGGTGTGACAGGGCCCTAACCAGATGAAATGATGATTTTGTGTTTCATTTTTATCTGCTCTCAAGTCCTATTCCTTCACAAGGGGAACCTGATTACAGTTATTGGGGTGCAGACTGTATTAAATGTCACTAATGTGTAACATCTATGCAGTCAGCAGTTGGCCACATTTTACATCGCTTTCATGCCGACACTGTGTTTGACTTTTCATGAGTTTTTTTTACCCTTCTTTCTATTCCTATAAGATCAGTTTTTGTTCCTCACAGCAGACATAGAGAGCTCTCCCTCCTGCACTCATGACTGTAATTGGTCTGCTACCTTGGACCCCCTTTTGCACATGCACAGATCCATGATCAGTTAAATCTGGATCGAGCTAGCGAGTTTATGACCAGCTTTGTGGTAACGCTGATCCTAACTGCTATTGTTGTTGATTGGATAAACTGGATAAGCTGGAATTAAAACCACTGGGTTGAGCTCGCTTTGTGGTATGAGCTTTAGATCTTTTTTTTGTCCTCACTCCATAACATCAGGGTAAAAACCTTTATTAGAAGCCAAAAAGGCCGTGCATATGAAATTGTCCTGCTGGAGCAAACTCTCTTCATTATGATAAATAAAGCCCCATAAAAACTTTCTTCTGCAGCCTTGTTAACACGTTGTCATAAATACGGAAACGAGGGCGTGGAACTACAGATAGAAATCATAATTATGTCCCATCAAAAGATCAAAGCTTTGCCCCAACCTAAAGTAAATACAGCCTAATTACCTGACTAATTAACATTTACTGTTCATATTTCTAAGAAGCTACTCCATAAAGAGGAAATGAAGTATGAGCTTTTATTCCAAACCAAGAGATTTTTAGTTCGATATTGGATTCCCTTCATCTAAATCTTTCACGGAAAAAAAAAAAAAAAAAAGTGAATTTCCCAAATAAACAGTCCATCCGTTAACACCCCAGCGAATCGTACCATGGGTGGGGATTCCAGGAAGAGAGAGTCTCCTGCTTGTTGCTGCATTCCCCTTCTGGTGTATATTTGTGAGGCTGGAGCTGAGCAGCGCCTGCTTCTCCTTCACCAGACAAAGACGAACTTCTTCCAGGGACACTGGAGAAGACGAGAGCGGTCCAGACGCCCCGCCGCTGCAGAACACAAGGTCAAAGATCAGAGTGTTGATGCGAGCATGTGGGATCTGTGCACAGACTGAAGCATGGAGGGTTTTCAACAACCGATGATAAATATTTTATACATTTGGACGGTCAATAAACACACGACTATAAGCCAAAACACTATAAATAATCAGCTTATTGCTGCACAGACAAGCTGAAGTGGCTGAATGTGTCGCTGAGGTTAATCTCACTTGTTTGTCAGTCTCTTGAAAGTTGAGTCATCTTTATAGCTGGAAGTCAGTAGATCCGAGGAGGGAGTTGAAGAAATGCAACTGTCATCTGGACATAAGTAAAAGAAGAGAGAAAGGGAATATAGTGTATCACAGGGGAGAGATTATAAGATCTGACAGCTTTATAAAAAGAGGAAAGGTTCAAACCAAACCTGATCCAGCGTGGCTGTTTACTGAGTCGGTATCTCCTGTTGCAACGGCGTGTTGCGACTCTGATGTCTGACCAGAAAGTTTCTCAAGAAAACCCTGAAGCTCCAGCTCATCAGAAAATGCAGAGTCCTTGTTGGCACCTCCGTCAGTATGAGACACAAACTCGGCTCCGTTTTCCACAGATCTGCTGCTAAAAGTGGAAACATGAGCAAAAATCTGATCAGATTTAGAGAAAACTTTTAAATTTTTACCTGAAAGATGGAAAACATGAAAAAAAAAAAAAAACATACGGTTTAGGGCTAGATCTGGTGTCATCAGAGTAAGAGGATATAGTGGCTCTGGAGCCGGGGCTGCTGCCAGGGGACGTTCCACCCGGATGGAGCCGCTGTCTGGAAACCTGTCTTCTGGAAGGAGTCTGGAATGCACATCAGAGAGGAACCAAGATAAGAGCCCGACAGCCGATCCTTAAATTACCCATTTCAACAAAAGATAAAGCAGTGTTTCTGAATGGCTAAAAACGTGAAAAAAAATAATCGCCCACAAAGACTGCAAACCGATACGGGATGGAGACCCTGAGATAGCAGATCTTTACATCGCTTTTAACCAATCAGAGTCTGGAGATGACATGTCTCTAGAATTTGCACACTAAAAATAAAAGGAGTTTAACTGAACTTTTACATTTTTAGGCATCATTTTAGTTAATTATTGAACTCTCGCTTCAAAAAAAAAAAAAAAAAAAACTTTCAGGAAGGATAAACAGATGAATGGATGACGGATAAATGGGTGGAAAGATGGACAGACGACCAGAGAGGCTGAATGAAAGGGAGACGAAGATGAACAGACGTATGAAAAGCAAGTTGACAGACATCAACTGCTAAAAAGAAATCAGAATAACAGAAGAATAAATTAATTAATACACACAACTGATAAATGGCAGATGGACAGAATAATTGACTGATGTAGAGTCAGACTTATATTGCAAACTCCCAACAAAAATATCGTTATTTCTAACAAACCAACATGTGTTTTTACTTTAAAGTCTTTAGATAGGGTTTCTATAGGTTTATTGTGTGTTTATCTCCATTCCTTTGCGCCGAGAAGCAAAGCACGCACAGAAAACAACAATGGAGTATTTACCTCACTTCTCATGACCTCAGAGAGCTCCACCCCCAGCGGGCAGTAGTGAGCGTCATCAGCTGTAAACACTTCCTCCCTGTCTATCACGGGGCACTGAGGAGATCGGCCTCGCTCCCTCATCTTTGGGGTACTCTGAGTGCCAATGTCCTGAGCGGGTAAACTATGAACTAAAGCCAGGCTGTGGTACGCACCGCACGCCACCTGCAGGAGATCCAACAAAAACTGAATGCTTAAAGACAGAAAACATCTTCTACATTAAGAAGACAAACAATACATTGAACAAAGTACCTGAATGACACGTCTGCCTGCAAGATGTTCAACCTATCAAAAAGATGGAAACGAAAACAAATCCAGTTAATCGAATCCAATCTGCCGGACCCTGATGTGCAGCCTTGAAAGTACCTTCTGAGGTTTGCACACAGGAAAGGTTTTGGTGACCAGGCCAAGCTGGCAGCCGCTCCCCCAGGCCCACAGCTCATGGTGGTCGGACAGAGCCAGGCTGTGCTCCAGTCCACAGGCGAGGCCCACGACCCGAACGACCACAGGAGGAATCACCTCACTGTCCACCACCGTCACAGGGCAGGGCTCAGGAACTGTCAGTGAGAAGCAGCCACAAAGAAAATGTCTGCATTATAATCAAACTGAACTTTCAACCTGAAGGAGAGAAGTTTCACTTTGGGACAAAAAATGAGACAAAAATGACATTTTTTTACTGTCATGAGAGGGTGAGGTACTTTAAGTTCTTTTTTCCCACAATACTTAAGTATTGTGGGAAAAAAGTAACATCCACAATACTTAAGTATTGTGGATGTTATGTTATACGCGTGGATGTTATGTTATTTTTACTTTTTTCTTATCTTATTGTGTTGTGACCGTCACTATGTGTAAAGCTGCTGCTACACTGCAATTTCCCAGCTTGGGATAAATAAAGTACATCTATCTATCTATCTATCTATCTATCTATTGGATATGACTTTTCATCAAAATGTTTCATTATTCAAAGTTATATCCACAGAAGGTCTAGAGTAGTTCAGAGAAAAAAGTACTACTCTATCTATCTATCTATCTATCTATCTATCTATCTATCTATCTATCTATCTATCTATCTATCTATCTATCTATCTATCTATCTATCTAT